GCACAGCAGTATCACTGAGAAGAGGGTGATTATCTCAGCCTGGAGAGGTCCTTAGCCTTCCTTGAATTTTCTTGGCCCAAGCCTTAGTATTCGTCACCTCAAATCTTGGAAGAATGATTTTTGTAGTCTCTGATTTTTACAGAACTGCTTAATGGGATCAGCAAGAAGAATGGTAGAGAGAGTGAGAGTTAGGGTTAGCAATTCTCAGCAGATTCAGCAGTTCTACAGGCCCTTGTTCCAACTGCCATCAGGAAGTCTCTGCAGGTTAGACATTTAACTCTCCTCTGATGCTTCCCAGTGTTATTTCCCCCTTTCTGTGCATTTTCACAGTGAAACTGCTTACCAGGCCTTTGTTGGCACAGACCGTCTGATTCAAGCTCTTCAGAACAGGACAGTCACACCTTCCAGGAGTCCCAAAGCTGTACCTAAGTACCGTTGAATGCTCAGCATGCACCAAATTTCTTCTTATTTTATCTATTAGTAAACTGGGTCACAGAAAAGCTCCCTTGGGGAGCCCAGGGCACAAACTTATAGATCTCCATCCTGAGCAGGACATTCATATTGCCTCTAGGGAATGAGATGGGAAAGGCCTCGAACATTTAGCTTATAGTGACAGAAAAGAATAGAGGGGCCAAATTGGATGCCTTGTGGATCCAGTTTTATAGAAGCAAGTACCTTCAAAGGAGGGAGGAGGATGTGACAACTTCTGGAAAAGAAAACTGAAGATAGTGAGATGTCCAAATTTGTGGGAAGGAGAGAATAGTCTTGATAGCAGGTTAGACTGCCTTCAGAGAAATAGACATTTTGATTCTGGTAATCATTCCTCCTTTTTGTATGTTTTGGAGGATTTTAAGAGAAATATTTTAATGGGACAGATTTATAAACACCGGCTTTCACTCATTAAAGTGTGGCCATAAGTTAATGTATCCTGATCTTGTAAAACACCAGTTTCCAACCAGCATTCTACCCACTAACATTTCCGATTCATCACCCAAGTTTCCTCTGTTGCCTCCCATTAAAGATAACCTGTTTATTAACTGAGGTTATCTTAATCTTTATGTTCAGGTGAAACTCTTCCTTGTTGTGATTACTCCTGGGATTTATCAAGAACTAAACAATCAGTAGCACTTTCTTTAAACTTTAAACACTTCTGAATGAATTTTGCTAACATTATTTTAGACAGTTGCTGAAATAGCAGAGAACTGTGAATTATTATTACTTGATAATTCATATTTGTTCAGTGGCTGGATTCAGGGCTCTTGAGGACCTTTACTTCTCTGCTTTCTTCTCTTGTATTTTTTAGTGCCACCTACATGATTCAGGTTTCAGATTTCTTTTTCCCCTCCCTGTGTTGGTTTGATCTTTTAACTCTCAGTATTCTCTGAGGTGTTTACCTACATTTCTCCTGGCATACTCTAGATCAGTCCATCAGTCAGCTCCTGCCATTTACAGAACCATTCTTTGTGATCTCACTGTATCTCTTTTTTTAGGTACATGAGTTTGGTTCTATTTCTTGGCTGCGTTTTCCCCACACTCATGCTTGGCAACTTCCAGCTTTCTCAAGGCCCCCCTATCTTCACTCAGAGAAATGTCACCCATCTTTCATGGTCTACTTCATGTTCAGTGGAAGAAAGTCTTCAGTGACTTGTCAGATTAACATGGGCAGCTGGTGAGCTAATCCCTAGTTGCTCCTCCTTTGCTCATTTACACCATGGGAGTCACTTTGCTTACCAAAGGTCAGTTGTGATGGTTTCAGACCTGTTAATGCCAGTTATATTGGTATGTAATTATGTAATTTAACTAATATACAGATGAACCATGGGTGAGACAAGAATTGTTCTGTGAAAACTAAGGTCAATACTTTGGAAAAGCAAATTACTTTGAAAAGGAAATGAAATTGAATTAGGTTTGGGCAGGATAACTATAGAAGACTAGAGATGGAGGTAACCTAAAATCTAGAAAAATTCTGTACTTTCGGCTTCACAGGAGTGTGAGTTCTTCCTCTCCTTTAGAGAAACTGGAAATTGTAGGTGATGCATTATGGGTGAATTTCATACAAGAATAAAGGCCAGCAGAAAAGAGCTTGTTGGCCTTACATCAAAAGTTTGATGGCTCTCAGTGTTGTTTATAGCAGACAATGTGGGCTTAGACTTTGGTGGGGAAGTCACAATAAAAGTCAAAATAACTATCTTTTGTTATAGAGTTGTCGGTTTTAAGTGCTGTCCACTGGCTCTCAGTCATTGAGGATAAAGAAATCAGTATTAGGGGGATGGTATAGCTCAGTGGTAGAGTGCATGCTTAGCATACATGAGATCCTGGGTTCAATTCCCAGTACCTCTACTAAATAAATAAACCTAATTACCTCCCTCCGTTAAAAAAAAGAAAATCAGTGTTATTATTCTGTCTCCCTCCTTCACCCCCACACCCCCATCTCCTTAATTTTTGCTAGCTGTAGCTTTTCTGCATTGTCAAAGCATATAGCACTGACATTCGGTTGTCACTCTAATCCCATCTTAGTCCTGCCATTAAGGAGTTACAGTGCTCACTCACTGCCAGTCTTTCTGCCATAGTTTTTCGATCACCTCTTTGTTGGCAGAAGTGTTTTCTTTTGTAGGTTGCTCAAAAAAAAAAAAAAAAAAACCAAAAACTCATAGGGACAATATTTCCCATTCTGTTACTCTTGATTGACAGTCAACTGGGTGTAAAATTCTGGGGTTACACTCTCTCTTCTTGGGAATTTTTGTCAGTATTGCTCCTTTTTCTACTACTGTTGAATTTTACTGTGGAAATTCTCAAGATTTTTGTCCCTTTTTTAAGTGATTTGATCTTTTGGCCTGGTTGCAGAAATCCAGAATTCTCACCTTCAAGGTCTATCTCGGCACTCACTATGCTGGGTCAGTTTGTCCCTGGGATACAATGTGCCCTTTCAGGAACATCTTGGGTTTTATTTTTGTCATCTTTATGAACTGAGTCTTTACATATTTGTTTCATTCCATGTTATTGTTTTCTTTTATGCACGTGTAGCATCTCCTTTACTGTCTTTCTGTAACTCATTTTCTCTCTATTCCTTATCACTCTTTCATTTTATATTACTTGCTTTTAAAAAAACTTCTCTCCTTTTTGTTTCTTCCTGTGTTTTCAGCATTGACTCCTCTCCCTTTTGTTCCTTCCAGTCTCATCTTCATCTGTATGTTTTTTCCTTTCCACTTACATCTTCTCTTCTTGTTGTCTCCCTGCCTCTCCCATAAACTCTTGCTCTTCTGCTTTGAGCTCTTGCTTCATAGTTTTCTTTTTTCAACTTTGCAAAATATTATATTTTATCTGCTCCATGGCAGCATTGTTCCGGTGTTGTAGTCTTAGTCTGCTTTTTAGTTTTCCTGTTTCATTCCTAGTTTACTTCTTGTTGTATCTTTATTTGAATCCTGTACAGATTACATTTTTTAACTCATCTTTAAATAGGTGAGCTTTTCAGGGACCAGCTATTTGCAGGTTGCTTGTTTAGGGGAGGCGCCAAGTCTGTGTTCCAGGCTGGCTGCAGTTCTCATGATTTCAGGTCCTGGATGAGTTCCTTTGCCCTTTATCTCTACCCAGCCAAGAGAAATGGGCGTCTGTGAGCTTTTCCACCATGCAAAGCTGATCTTCTCTGCTGCCACAGAGACCGGCTCTGTGAGGCAAATAGAGTTTGTTTGGGTGTTTTCTCATTTAGCCCCAACTTCAGGTCCAAGGAAGTTCCTGTCTTCCAAAAACGGATTCTTTCTGGTCTCGAAGGATGTGTCCTTTACCTACAAGAAGTATATTTTTGCAGATCTTCCTGTGTCCTCTTTCTGTAACATCCTTTCTTTTCCTTCTCAAAAGGAAAAGAGCCCTTGCTTGAGTGCCCTGCTTTTGACAGCTTTTACACCAGTTTGGAGGACTGGGATTGTGCTAATCTTCTAATTTTGTTGAAAATGGAGATTGCATTTTTATTTATTTCTCCTTTTTGTCCATGAAACATTTTGAATAACATTTTAAAATTATGATTTCATGATGCAGTGTTCAAATCAGAAGTCTTAACTGACGTTTTCTATTAACCAACTGCTGGTCCCCATAATACCCTATATTAGACCTTTTACTACTACACTTTCTCCATAAAGTTTCCACCACCACACTGTCATCCATCCTCTAAGCCCCTAAAACCAAAGGCAGATGCTACTTAGACTTCATGAAAAGCCTTTCATTCATTCAACGCCTGCTCCACAATAGTCTGAGAGTCAGCCTTGTTGGGAGAACTTCTAGCTAGATGGAACCTGAACCCAAGTGTGAGCCTCATGACCAGAAAAGTATCCATGCTGAACCTGGTTTCTTATCTAAGCTAGAAGATATGGGATGAGGACAAGTGCAAAGGAATGGGCCTGTTTTGCCTCCAACGGAGCACAGGCTAGAGGATCTAGCATATTAAGCCCCTGGGAGATGAGATATTTCACATGGAAATGTGCTTGGATAGGGATTGTTCTGTCATAGCTGTACTGACTTAATGCCAGTAAGTGTTTATGATGGTAACACTAGTAATGAAAGCCATCATGATTTATTTAGAACTCAAGAGTGTGTGCCCGGCACCAAGCTAGGTGCATTACACAGGTTATCTCATTCAGCCCTCACCACAGTCCTGGAAGGAAGCTGAAGCACGGAAAGGGTAATTTGCCCAAGGTCACCCAGCTAACAAATAACAGAGCTAAAGTTTAAACACAGTCTGATTTCAAATGAAGCCTGTGCCCTCAGCCACCACCACCCTGCCCTGAGTGAAAGAGATTTGTGTCTTGAAATGCCAGGATGTGGGGGAGTCCCCTGTGGTCTGACTTCAGAGGTGGGTGATCTAGGGGGCTGAAGCATTTGTTGTGAATCAGGAGCCAGTGTCAGGGCTGACCGCACACTGCTCCAGGAAAGCCCATGAGATTTTCTTTGGGGCCACACCCTACTTACTACAAAGGCCTCTACCCTTCTTATTTTTGCTTCTCCTCCAGGTGCACTACATCCTTCAGGAGGTGGTGATGGGTGGGATGGTGTTGGAAACAAACATGAATGAAATTGTGGCTCAGATTGAAGCTCAGAACAGGCTGGAGAAATCCGAGGTGAGTATGCAGCGATCATTTTGCCCTAACTGGTTAGAGAAGTCCTGGACAGAAGGAGGAATGGCTAATGTGTTGGTGTGGGTTGCTGGGGAACCTTACGAATGTTTTCTGCTTACCCTTTTTCTTCCTTGAGTCCATCAAAACTCATTGGTTTGAAGGCCAGCCCTGAAAATCAAACAGGTAAGAATAAGGCTAAAAGTGTGAATTGAAAAGCCAGATAGCACAGGAAGGCAAATAGCTTCTGGCTTGAAGGGTTATGGCCCATGTTTGTGGTTTGTAATTCCTCCTTTAAAAACCACACATTCACTGGAGGGACCCAGAATCCCCTTCTCCAGTTCCAATGTGGTTTCCTAATTTGTGTGCCTATGAGTCCGATCTCCCAGCAGCCATTTCTCATGGTGTCTTTCAGACCTCAGAGTTGCCAATTTCCTTATTTCCAGTTAGACTTATAAAAAGCTACCGTAGAGTTTGGGCTAGGTTTGAAAATAACATACCCCAGGTCCGCCCCCACATAGTGCTGGGTTTGATAGAAATGCTCACAGTAAATTCTACCTACCCTGAGGTCTCTCCATAGCCTTCATCAGCCTTACCAGGCAGTAGAGGTTACAGGCATAGACCTTCACACGTGGCAGAAATAGCAGAACAAATTACCTCTTTAATTATCTGAATGTCTTAAAGAGCTTCATCGCTTTGTGTAATGGAACTTGATCTTGCGAAACCAGGAATTCTTTCTGTGAGGACTGGCAGTCCTGCTGAAGAAGCTTTTCCAGACCGCAGCTATTGTGGCAACTTAGTTCTTTTAGAAATGCAGGCTGGGAAGCTTCCAGGAATAGTAAGTGAGTCAGAGGCAAGGGGTTTGGAAACCAGAAGAAATGGAGACTTGCTGGGTGAGGGTAGAACGGGAGTGAATCCTGAAAGTGATCAATAAGGAGAAATGGTTTTGAGAATGTCCTCGTCAGCTTCTCCCCTTCTTCACACACCAGGGCTCAGCCTGGAGCGTGAGGGCTGACTGTAGGCATCTTCCCTCTCTGTGTTGTTTCCAGACCATCTGTGTCTGTGTGTACACTCCACTTCCTACGTGTCCTTCCTCCCATCTTGTTGCCACATGACATTTCCAAAGCCGGCTCTTTTCCACCTCACGTTATTAGTTGGCAGGCAGTTGTCCTAAGCTGTGACATTCCTTTTTCCCTTTGAGAATTTCCCTGTGATTACAACACTTGTCTCTAAGGGTCTTCAGTCTCTTAAGGAAAGGGTTTTATTTTGTTTCATAACCTGAAAAGTGCCCCTGATACAGAATATAACTTGGTTAAACCACTTCAGATTATTTCAGCAAGCATCTATTGAGCACCTACTATGTGCCAGGCACTGTTGGCACTGGGGCTGTAAAACTGCATAAGGCACAACCTGCCTTTAGGAGCGCAGAGTTTGGGTCCCTGTACCATGATCTCCCCCTAACCTAAAGGTTGTTTTGTTGACTACCTTTGAGGCAGTAGGAGGGAAAAATTAAAACTTGCATTTCTTGTACTTAGTTTGGACATTTTCTAGGCCTCCTTCACTTTTTTTTTTAAACATTAAACAGATGATACTGAGGGTTTGTCTTATACCCACCTTCACATCTCCTCAGGGTGGCCTTTCGGCAGCGCCCGCCCGGGCTGTGTCTGCTGTGAAGAACATCAACCTGCCAGAGATGCCTCGGAACATCAACATTGGCGATCTCAACATCAAGGTCCCCAACCTGTCCCAGTTTGTCTGAGAGTGGAAGATGGCTGAACTGAGTTCTTGGAACCAGCAAAGCCAAGCCAGTCCTGCAGCAGAACCCACTCTGCGCCCTAGAGGAGTCCAATCTCAGGCCCTGGCCCTTCTGTCCTGGAGCAGGAAGGCGTCCTGTGTCACCCCTAGCCTGTGCCCGCTCCTCACATGTGCAGCCTTGCCCTTCTCTCATACACGTGGCCGCTGCAGATGTGAGGGGCACCGGCTGCCTCGGTGGGGGTCAGGAGACCAAGCCATTCACCCCCTTTACCTCCCACGTGCAGCCACTCCTAGGGGTTGGGGACTGTAGTAAGAGGCCCCTCTGCTCCCAGAACTCCACCATAAGGACATTCTCTGACTCAAGTCTTCAAGCTTAGCACCATAAGGCTCCTGAGGTCCTGTAGAATTGACTTTCCTGGCAAGGTGCCGTAGCTAGAAAAGGGATATGGTGAGTGGCAAACAAGGACAAGATTTTTGAGAACCAGAATTGCCTACCCGCTCTCCTAGAATTGTCATACCCAGAAACCTTTTGTATAGCTTTCCGATCACCATCTCCTGCAGAGTGCATCCCCCCACTGCCGCAGTCCCAGCTCTGTCCCACAGGTGTTTATATGCAGGACACAGTCCAGTCACAAACCTGGTGCTTGCGCCCCCATTTCTGCCGATACGAAGAGCACCCCCCATAGCTAGAGGGAAGAGGCCCTGTATCTATAGAAGGCAAGGCTGGCAACACGTGGAACATCTCAGAATTACAACTTCCCAGGTTTAAAATACATTCTCCTCACGAGGAGCAGACGAGTCAGCTGCTGTCTTACGAATGATGAGTCTTCTCCAAAGCCCACTGCTGTCTGTATCAGCTTCTGGAGCATGAGAGCCTCAGCTGGGATCACCCGTCCTGGACCTGACACAGAAAGACTGGGGACACAGGCAGCATGCTGACTGAGACCGGTGGCAGTGAAGCATCTTCTCCCCGGTGTGCGAGGGGTCCCTCCCTAAGCTTGCTTATGCGCATGCCCTGTTCTCCTCTGGTGACAGTCCCCCAGAGCTAGCTGTGGAAACCTGTAATAAGGTATGATAAGGCTTTCTTCCTGTGGTTAACTCAGAGCTGAAGCTGCTCCTTGGAGTAGTGCCTCTTAGTCCTGCACTGCCTCAGAGGCCAGGTCTCAGGTGCAGTGCTGAGCTACCTTGAGATTAGGGAGCTCGCTGCACCGTCATGGTCAAGTCTCCTCGCCTGGGGACTTCTTGTGCCTACCAGCCCGTGGCCCAAAATGTTTCCTCAAGCCTCCTGATGCTCTCGCAGAGCCCATGGGAGATGGTGTCTTTTCCCACTTTGAACACTGCTTCCCGTGGTTGCTGCCCTTTGCTCCCAGCAGCCTCTTGTCCTCACTCTTAGTGAACCTGTCCGGTAACCTCCGAGACGCGCGGTGCTGATCAGAAGGTAGGCCCTCATGTTGGAACAGGGAAGTGTAGGCAAATATATCTGATGTCGAAACCTCCGATATCATTCTTTTAAAGGGTTTAATTTTGGGGGTATTTTTCCAAGGTAGCCGGTGACAGCATAGAGTGTAAGAGCCAGAGGGTCCTCCACGTGCCTCCACTGAACTGGTGAGGAAACGGAACCCAGAGTGTTAAGTGTTGTATTGAGGGTCACACAACTAGAACCGTTTTTCTTGAGTTAAACTTTATGGTTTATTGTATTGCTGCAGGACAGCCACATGTCCTGAATTTCCTGGGATGGTGTTTGAATGTTTTGCCTGTCGGAAACCAGTGATTCCCCAAAACTGTTGACTGGTCCTATAGACTCCAGCAGTGGGTGTCCCAACATCATCCCTTGTACTGCCTCTAAAAGTGACATAAAACTGGAGTCTGGTCTTCTATCTGGAACACTTGGTCCCTTTGGACAGGCCACAGTAATTGTTCATTAACTGCTTGAGGTTGCCTGAAAATCCAGCTAGCTTTCTTGCCTGCTATCAGCAAAGCCATAAGCTTTAGTATGTTGAGGAAATCCTCACTGGCCTTTTTTTGGAAAGGGATACAAACATTGCTGCTGAAAGATGTCAGGTGTGAAAATAAGGGCTGGGTTTGAATTCGGGAGTCCTTGGCCCTGGATGGTTTATACTGAGAATTTCCTAAAGTGGTACAGAATACTGGGCTTTTAGTGCTCACTGCCACTAATTAAAATCTAATATTCATCCATTATGCAATTTCTAAGTGCCCGGTGAATGCCAGGCTCAGTTCTAGGCACTGAAGACAGACATGAGGCTCTGCCTCCTACTGTTGTCTCCGCTGAGGACTTCTGAGTGCTCAGATTGAATCTGACTGGCAGCCTGAATTTGTGGAGAGTGTAGTTAGTGACTTTGTGCTATATGGAATATTTAAAGGACAATAACCCATTTTCCAAACCCAGCTGACCCCCTGCTGTCCATGCTCCAAACAGCCTGTCTTCAAGCTGGTATAACAGAAATGCCATAGACCAGGTAGCTTAAATAACAAACATTTCTCACCATTCTGCAGGCTGATCCAGATCAAGGTACCAGCAGATTTGGTGTCTAGTGTGGACCCACTTCCTGGTTCATAGAGGGCCATCTTCTTGCTCTGTCTTCACATCGTGAAGAGAAAGCTCTGAGCGCTTCATCCTCTTATAAGATCACCAATCCCACCACGGGGGCTCATCCTAACCTAATTACCTCCCAAAGTCTCCAACTCTGACTACCATGACAATGGGAATTGGACTTACAGGAATTTGGGGGGACACAGACACTCAGTCCATAAAGTGCACCTAATTACCCACCTTTCTTTTAGGCCTACTAATGGCCCTGTGCTTGTCACATTGAAGATTAAGTCAAGAGGTCTCAAGTCTTCTCAGGTCCCTGTTATTCAGGCCTCTGCCACATGCAGAGCCAGCCTTTCCTCCCTACCACCTCCACCTTCACAGAGCCAGCCTAGTGAAGCCCTCTCTGGCCCCAGGTTCATCAGAAAAGAAACCAGGGGAATATGGCTAAAACCAGACTGCTGGCTAAACCCTGTCTTGTGAACCAGCCTTTAGTAGGGGGCTTCCTTAGTGTGATCCATGGGTTTCCAAATAGAATGCAGCGGTGACTGATGCCTGAAGATGGAGATCAGGAGTGAGTGTGATCGCCAAGACAGAGCCACTAGGTAGGAGAGAGACCCAGTTGGGGGTGGGGGGTTGTTGGCTGCTTGCACACATCCTGATCTTCAGCTTCCCAGGTCTCCTCCTCTGCCACTAAGAGGGTGCCCATCTCATTGTGGTCATTGTGAGCCTAGTGTCTGCATACCTGCGTATACCAGCACGTGGCCAATGCCCACAGGTTGCTGAATGACTGATTTCATGGTTAATCGTTGACCTCTGGAGAACACTGGAGAGTCCCACATCTGCAATGTTTTGGCAGCAGTTAGCAGATAGGCAGACAGGCCTCCTTTAAGGAACTGATTCCACGGAAATGAGTAATCTTTCCCAAAAGACTGTTTAAGTTCTTTCCTATTTCAATGAATTACTGTTTTTAAAAGGAAATACATTCACGTAGTTCAAAATTTAAAATAAAAGGTTGTTCAGCCAGGCTTCCATCCTGTTCCCCCAAATTTCTAAGCACCCCCATCCCTGGTAGGAACAAGTGTTTCCAATTTAAAAGATTAAGAAACAAAGCCCCTGGATTTTTATTACCAAAACTGAGTGTACCTTCCCAAAAGAGTTCTGTTCCATTCGATCTTGGCGGTTGACCTCAGCCCACTACAACCATGACGTCCTCTGTAGGGAGGAAGTGCCCCCCAGCCCACCCCGTACAAAGTGCACACCTATTTGAGCCCTCCCTGTCCTTGTTCTGCCTCCGTTTTCCATGGCACTGACATACTATGTGTTTGGTTTGCAGTTATTGTCCCCCCTCCTAGGAGGTACACCCCTCAAGGGCAGGAGTTTTGTCTCTTGTTCAGTGCTGTGTCCCAGCTGCTAGGAATATGCCTGGTATGTATCACTCAATAAACAGCAAATCAGCGAATGGTTGAGGCAAACAGTAGGTCATTCTTACAGTAACTTGTAGCTTACACTCTCCAAGACCTCATGCTCAGCACTTTGGGAAGGAGAACCTTGGTAATGGTATTGGGAGCAGCCAGTAGGGAGGGACCAGTTGATGGCCTGTGGAGGATGGAGAGGAGAAAGGCAAAGCTGCTGACAGCAGAGCCCAGGTGACTGGAGGACCAGCAAGGGTGTTACTTGAGAGAGGAGGAGGGGTTTGGGAGGGAGAAAGCCCAGTCTGAATGTGGACATGTGAAGTTAGAGATGCCTGAGAGTATCTGGAAGCAGATATCCACTGGCCAGCTGGGAATGTGGGAGTGGGCAGGAGAGGAAATGAGCATCCATCCCAGAGAGATGGTCATTGAAGCCGTAGGGGTGAGTAATGTGGCCAAGGGATGAGAGGAGAGGGTTGAGGACACAGTCTGTGGGCAGAGGAAGGGAGAGGGGAGTCTTGACAGTGGAGCAACTTCAAGTTGATGGAGGACTTTCAGTGCGAAGGCTGAGAGGCCAAGGGCTGGGGACTGAGAAGAGATTACCTCTCTTAGTCTTGCTGTTGCCCCCACCAAGGAAGTGAGGCAGTGAAGTGAGGGAACTTCTAAGGGGTGGTTCTAGCCTAGTGGTGGGGCAGATCTAAACCACAAGTGTAAGCATGTGGATCACAATCCAGCTCTGTGACGTACAGAGCTTTGGGAAGGTCAGTGTCCTCATCCACAAAGGAGTACCAATAGCTCCTGCCTCGGGGGTTGTTTGAGGGATAACTGAGAATTGATGAAGACCACAAAAGACTCCATGAGCACAGGCTGCTGTCATCATTGGGGTTTTTGTAGAGGGAGTGGAAGCTGGAGTAGATGCAATTAGCTGGGAGACATTTGGCGGTGCTGGAAAGGAGAGACTGCAGTCCGTAGTGCCAAGTCCTGGCAGAAGGCCTCAAAGGTGGTGCAGCAGAGGGGTGATAGGGACAGTGGCTGCTGCCCTGGCCCCACATGTGGGGTCCCAGGCACATGAGGCTACCACTAGATAAAGCTGTAGAGAAAGTGGTGAAATCTCTGGAAAGTGAAGCTTCCCTTACAATAAGGAATTTGAAGACATGGAAGAGCAAACGTGATTGGTAGGACCAGAAGTGTGGGGGACACAGCCTGGAACCCCCTTCCTCCAGAATCAGTGGGAAATGGAGAGGTCCCGCAGGCACAGTGGAAGGAATCAGCATTTAGCCAGGACCAGGGTGAGGGCCTCTGGCCAAGCAGACCTGGCCGAGAATTGGGGTCCTATAGGGACTCCATGCTTCCCATGAGAAATGGGATCTTCAGGCTTTTCCAAGAGCAAACCTTACCTTTTTGTTCAACTCTAACAGCAGCCTGACCTGAGAGCACTTGGGAACAGGGATGCCTTCCCTTGCCACTTAGGACTGTGCCATGCCTTCAGGAGGTCAGGTTGAGGGTTGTCTTCTGCATCGATGAGGATGAATGCCCTTTGCAAACCCATGGGATAAAGGCACAGCTGAAGTGATATAAAGAGGTACGGGTAAATATTAAAATTTTTTTGAGAGTTCAGCTTTTTGTTGAACATTACAAAAGTGGTTTAGTCAAAAAGCCCAAAGCCCATGTCATCAGACTCCTCAGCTTCTTTCTTTGCTTCCACTTTTCTTTAGCAGGGTGGCAGTGGAGGGGGCAGGACCTCCTGCTGGGGCAGCACCAGCTGCTGGGGCAGGTCCCCCTGTCCCTGCATGCAGGTGAGGCTCCCAACATTGACATTGGCCAGAACCTTTGCAAACAAACCTGGCCAGAAAGGGTCAATATTTACACCAGCTGCTTTAATGAGGGCATTGATCTTATCCTCTGACCACCAGCACCTCATTGTCATATGGGATGAGGGCCGAGAAGGTGCAGGCGAGCTCCCAGTCGGAGGCCAAGGTGCGGGCTGGTGCTGCACAGGCACTGCTGGGCACTCGTTGCCAGTTGAAGTGAGGGCCTCACCCCAACTCAACCTGAGCTTACTCAAAGGAACCCAGCACTTGGTGGCAGTTGAGAAAAGGGAGCTGGGTAAATTTTT